GAGTTCATGACTTAGTTGTAAGCTCCTTTCTGGATGAAAAAATAGTCGGTTTGTCTGAATTTTGGCATGCTCATTCCCAAATGAATGATTATTCACTATGCGAAAGTTTGTATTGATAGCTTTAATAGTTTTAAAGATACGGATGATCAATCTTTTTCCAGAAACTAAGTGCACACCCGTTAGACTGCCATGATACCCACAGCCCTACCATCACGGCGCCGTCTGGATACTGCCAAATTGCACACCACAGTATCATAACGAGTAACGTCAGGGGTGAAAGATTACTGCTGCAGGTATCGCGTTGAATTTCTGAAACGAGCCAACCTGTCTCAGAACATACACCGGCGCATGTAATACCAATTTTCCGGTTAACCTGCCGACATTGTATAAAAAAGCAATTAAGTGGCCAGGATTGAAAATCCATTTTTATGTTTTCTCCGTGAAACAAACCAATGGATTTGAAGAAACGTATTGAATTGTTCTACCTTTCGTTTTGACTCTTTCAGATGGTATGGATTGATTTAAGCGTTGCGCTTTCGCACCAATCCTATTTGTTTTACTTTTGTACTTATTCTGTCTTTTTCTGTTGAAAGTAAATGAGATGAGGTGAGATGAGATCTCGGAATTTTCTGTCCCTATAGGTTCAAACTCGATTAAGACAAAAGGGGGGGCCGCATTCACTTGTGTTTGGAACCGTCGTTGCGTTGTTCGCTCGCCTTCACCTTGCTCCCTGATCCTCCCTGCCTCTCCTCTCTCGTGACATGGCCACTCCCTCCCGCAGTGCCTGGACGCGCTCCCAGCATGCCCTCCCCGCTCTCCTGCCCTGTTGCCGCCCCTGTCCTCTCTCCCTCCCTCGGTGGCCTCTCCTGCCCTTCTTCCCTTCCTCCCGCGGTGCATTAAGCACCACGGGATGGAGCGAATTAGTGATAGTTATCAATCCGGAAAAATCGTGCTACCGATACCAAACCAAATACCAATAATAGCCAATAACCATGGGAAAATACCGAAACCGAGCCGACTTGGGGATATGACGGGAATGCCAACTTTTTGCCAAATTTACAGCCTCTTTAAGATAGGTGAGGATTCATGATAGGGGCATTCCATGTCAACCGGGACAGCCAAAATCGGCCACCTCTGCGATTTTGTTCAAACTTGGTATACTTATTGGCTATTGGGTGAAACCTCTGAGGGTTAAATGATTTTGCCATATGCCCTCGGGTTACAGAGATACAAGCCGCTAAACTTCTGCTTTTTTAGCAGAATTGGACGTGTATTGCAATCTGGAAAGATCTACAGCTTCAACATTTTTGAAGCTATTAATTTCAAACAAACTGAAACGTGTACATAAGGAGTTGTGCTAGTTAAATTTGACATTTTTCACATTGTCTGGCGATTTTGAATTTATTTTATTTTGATTTAATTTCTTAAAATCTAATTTGTGAAAAATGGGTACCCTTCGATTTTGCTCAAGTTAAGATATTGTCTTCCACTACACGTAAGGCACACGTGCTGAGAAAATTAGAGTGGGCCAACGATAACTTTGGATGATATAGCAACGAGTAGTGCAACGTAGCACGGGCGGTGGAAGGGGCGGATTTCGCCAACCCCAACTGTTTTTCGCCAATAACTCACGCCATACTTTTTATATTAACGTCAAACTTTCAGTATCTGTCCGGAATTGAATTGTAAGTCCTCCCGTGCAAGCAATAGGTAAATCGGTCCACAACTTTTCTAGTAATAGCGGTGTAAAGCCAAACATCTTGCCGGAGCGGCGCGTCGGCCGGCGTCGGCAGTTGCCGCCTGAATGGTAGACTGTGCCGGCGCGGGACGGTCCCATCTTTGCACTGCGCTTCTTACCGCTGATTACGATCGATTCGTGTCAAATTTTGTGTGAAGGCTAAAAATGTACAGTCAATCTAATGGATAAATAAATACGAAAATCAACTGGTAAAAGTTGAATTATTAGGGTGCTAACACAACCTTTGACTGAAACGTTTCCCGCGTCGGCCGATCCCCGCCTCTGCCGGCGACTCTTAGCAGGCCACTGACTGCCAAATTTATGGTTAGATTAACTACAGATTCTCATAACACTACACATGTCGTATAAAGGAAGAAATAGGAAAATCGGCCAGTAGCTCTTAAAGGGACTATCCCACCTTCTAAAATGTTGTTAAAACCAGTTAAATTGTGCCCGACTTTATAGATTGGATGACCAGGAACACGGTTCTGGCATTTATTTTTCATTAAACTCTTAGGCTTCCCATATTCCAAACACAAACTTTCAAATATGTGACGTCACAGCCCAAAATTACCTCCTTCCCCAGGCCACATTACTGGCATAAAGCTGATTCTTTTTACTCTGTAGGCACCACAACAAAGTTCAGACCAAGTTTTAAGCGATTTTTCAACGAACAAACCCATTTAAATCAGAATGACTAAACGAGGTGACGTCACACTAACGGTTAGAGATGTCAATCGGATACCAACTTTTTGGTATACCGATACCAAACCGATACCAACTTGGTATTTGGTATTTCAATCCTAATGCATTTGGTATTTTGTTGGTATTGTGAATCGTTGCTAATGTAAAAGAGGCTGTGAATTCGGTAAAAAGTTGGTATTTCCCTCAGTTTCTGAAATTGGTTTGGTTTTGGTATTTTCCTATGGTTATTGTTGGTATTTGGTTTGGTATCGGTATCACGATTTTCTGTAACTGACATCACTACTAACGGTCGCTCCATGTTGAAGATGGGGCCTTGCGCAAGGCCCATTTTCAAATGAAGGGAACGAATTTCTTCAACACCAAGAGGCCGCGGGGGCTGCAACCTAGATAGATAGTGGTTTCTGAACCTCGCCGCAAACTTGGCTATCTCAACTCAAACCCCATGTTAAAGGTGGGATAGTCCCTTACTACTAGAGAGGATAACAGGTCCCTTATTACTAGAGAGGATACGAAATAGACGCAGTTTTGCGGCAAATTGGCCACGCTGACGTGTCGGCGTTGTGGAATGAGGGAGGGCGCCGGCGAAGCTGTTTTAGTGAAGGCCGCCCCACACTGGACCTCGCATGCGGGTTGTGAGTTTGCGGGTTTTGAGTTTGCGGGCGTAATACTAATTCATAGAGTGATTAGACCGCTCCCTTATGGTAACTTCATGAATGCAGTGAAGCCGGCACACCTTCAGAAACTTACATATAGTCGCAATACCAGCACAACGAACCAAAATTCGACTCCAACGAAAAACCCGCAACCCTCGCAGAACTCGCAGACCTCGCAGCGAGGAAAATCGAAAGTTGACTCAAAATCAGCTTTTGGAATGCGATGCAAGGTCGCTCGCAAGCTAAAAACATGCAGAATCGCTTGTTAGATGGTAGTGTGGGTCACTCAACTTAGATTGTATTATTTACTTTTGAAGAAACCCGAAAACCCAAAAACTCGCAACCCGCATGCGAGGTCCAGTGTGGGGCGGCCTTAAGAGCTGTGGGCGTATAAACGCAAAATAGTCACTATAGTAAATTTGATCACGTTGAACCTCATTTGATCTTGAAGATATTGATCTAGGGCCATGAAATTGGCACACGATAAAGTTCCCCACCGCCCCACTTACAATTCAAATTCCGTTTTTTAACACTTTTTTGGCTAAACCGGGCCTTAATTCTGCCCTAGCGCTGGGAGAGTCAGGCGTATTTCCTTTTTGCAACCAAAGAGAGGCGCTGCCCGGAGAATGCCCAATTGCATCATTAAAAAACTAGCTTACATCTCCGCGATGACCACCTATCTTCATGGCTTAGTAGTTAATGTGCCGAGTGTACCCCACCTCGTAATCTAAAGGTCGCTGGCTCGCGGCCGGTCAGCCTCAAGTGTTTTAACACGCATTCGTTTTTGAAGTAGCATCTGGCCAGCCGGCAAATGTCGTGAGGGCTAATGTTCGTATCTAAGTAGCATTTGGCCAGCGGGCAACTGCCGTGAGGGCTGTACATATTTACGCGTGTTAGATTAGGTCAGGTCACGTCAGGCCAGGTTAGGTTTGCTTTGGTTTGGGGTAGAAAGAAGCATCTTCGGGCAGCGCCTCTCCTTGGTTGCTAAAACGAAACGCGCGAGTGCCAGACATTACGAAGTCCAAAAGACAGTTACGTAGACGTCGGCCCATTCTGGATTTTTTATATGATGTAGCTCATGTATAGGATAATAAAATATGTGAAAATCAGCAAAATCGAAGGGTACCCATTTTTCAGAAAATAAAAATTTATTTTTTGAATTTTAATTAAATTCACTAATTAGTTAAGTACGTCAATATTGTTATCCTCAAAGTAAAGCCTGAACTATTCCCTCCATTTAACACTTTGTTGCGTGGTGATATGTCTAAAACTTCAATGGTTATGACGCTTTAAAGATGATAATGTGCCTTGCCTAAGTCAATGTTCGATGACGTATATCTCGGAAACGTGACGTCATATCTTGACAAAAAAATGTCTCCTTTCGTTTCATATATAGATGAGTAGTTTCACAAAGTTTCGCAAAAATCGGAGGAGGTAAGGTTCAAAATGGTCATTTTTGTCCCACTTGACGTGGAATGCCCCGATACCAACAAAATACCAAATGCATTAGTCTTCAAATACCAAATACCAAGTTGGTATCGGGTTGGTATCGTTATACCAAAAAGTAGGCATCCCATTGACATTTCTAGAACGAACGCTGTCCTCTATCCCTCTCTCGGTGCTTACTGCTTACCGCCCTCCCCCTCACCACCACCACGGACAGTCTGGGTGCGGCACTGTCCTCCCTCTGTCGGTGCCTGGAGCTGCCTCTGCCTTACTCCCATTCCCATTGCGGCCCTACCCTATCCTGTAAGCCCCTCCAGCCAGCCCTGGAGGCTGGAGGCTGGAGCCTCCCCTGCCCTCCCTCCCTTCTGCTCTGGCGCCGCTCCTGCCGCCCCCCTCCCGCGGCGCCTGGACGCGCCCCTGCGACCGGTCACTGCCCCGGGCGCCCGGCCGCGCCTCCAGTCGGCTCCGCAGTGTCAGTGAGCGGGTCAGCGCGATTCGCTGCCAGAAACAGAGACGAGTGAACGGAAGGAACCATGAACAAGGTAAGCGCATTTTCAGATGTTTTACGTAACGAGGATAGTTGCGCCTATTGGCTATAGTGCTGTAAAGATGTGTTAAATTAAATGGTTATTGAACTAATATTTTAAATCGAACGTTTGTGTTCCAAGGCTAAAGCCACCATTCGTTAGAAATGTTTTAGCAAAAGCTGTCTTGAGATCATTATATCTCGATAAAAATTCTTTTCTCGTTAAATTCTCTCTAAGACCGTTTGTTTGGTACCGCCTTTGTTTCAGTTCCCGTTTATGTTTACGGACTTCAGTCTGGGAGATTTGGCTGGTTTGGTCAATGGTCATTTTTAGCAAATTGCCCCCCCCCCCCCCCCCCTAAGATCTCGAGAATCACGCAACATAGCGACAAGCGGCAAACTGTGTTGGATAGCCCCAACAGGGAACTACCTTGTGACCCTATTTCATTGAGGTCAGACCGATGACGTCACAGGTCAGGTAAAATGTCGAATTTTCACCGCTTACAGGCATGTCAAGAAATGCGTTGTTAGATCGAGTGAAATGCATTTCATTGAAAATCATCGATGGGGTAATGTTCGTCAAACACATATTTTGCTATTTGAGGTCACTGATACCAGGTCAGGTCACAGAGGTCAGGTCACTGAGGGTCACAATATGAAAATATCATGTGATAGGGTAGCCTGGGGCAAGACGCCCCAGATAATTTATTTTGCTACATAACTTATGTCCCACATCACCTGGAAGGCCAAATTTGTGCTCAATGCGTTCTTTGGACATTTTACTTTAAATTCCACCCGTCAAATTCATTCACTTATGATCGAACTCCCAGCTAGGAAGTGATTTGTGAAGCAACTGCAAATGGGGCATTTTGCCCCAACCCCAGGGCAAAACGCCCCACGGCCTGGGGCAAGAAGCCCCATACTCAAGATTAAAGATCTAACATGCTAGACGCTAGTTGACTAAATCTTATATGAGAGGCCCGCTAGACCTTGGGAAGCACGGAACTGAAGTTAGCACCTTCCATCCTGTCAGGTGTTCAGCTATGACACTATTGTATGTACAGGTTTTTCACCTGGCTCATAAGGCCAAATAATAAATTATTGCAATGCAAATGTTAACACCAGTATAACGCCTTTTGGGGCGACTAACGGAGCGAGCGAGAGGGTGAGCCTTGCACGTGCGAAATTTCGAGGGGTACCTCCAGCTGACTTGTACACGGCACCCTACTAACCGGTCTCTGGCGATGTGCCAAATTTGAGCACAATCGGCCCAGCCGTTCTCGAGATCTGGAAGCGGCACCCTGCACGTGCGCACGTGCAAAATGGGTCCCAACTGACTTTTGCACGGCACCCTACTAACCGGTCCCTAAACATGTGCCAAATTTGAGCGCCATCGGTCCAGCCGTTCTCGAGATCTGGAATCGACCCCTGCACGTGCGCACGTGCAGCAGCACCCCAACTCTGGCACATGGATATGCATTGTCTAGTGGGTGCCTACCTACATGCCAACTTTCAGCGCAATCGGCCAAGTAGTTACCGAGATATTGCAACAATTACAAAAGTGACACCTCTTGGTTTTGCACGTGGCACGTGCATAAGGGGTCACGCACATCCATCGGGAATAGTCCAATACTTGGTAGAAGGAATGAAGCTACCCTACAAAAATTACCGCATGTAAATCGGTCAAGTGGTTGCTGAGATATAAGCGTCGCAGAATCGTGACCACGGCCGGCCGGCCGGCCGGCCGGCCGCTCATACTCAGAAATTTCCGTTATTCTACGTAAGACTCCGCTCGCTTCGCTCGCTCCGTAAAACCAGTATAACGCCTTTTGTGGCGACTAACGGAGCGAGCGAGAGGGTGAGCCTTGCACGTGCGAAATTGCGAGGGGGTACCTCCAACTGACTTGTGCACGGCACCTTACTAACCGGTCTCTAGCGATGTGCCAAATTTGAGCACAATCGGCCCAGCCGTTCTCGAGATCTGGAAGCGGCACCCTGCACGTGCGCACGTGCAAAATGGGTCCCAACTGACTTGTGCACGGCACCCTACTAACTGCTCCGTAACCGTGTACCAAATTTGAGCGCAATCGGTCCAGCCGTTCTCGAGATCTGGAATCGACCCCTGCACGTGCGCACGTGCAGCAGCACCCCAACTCTGGCACATGGATATGCATTGCCTAGTGGGTGCCTACCTACATGCCAACTCTCAGCGCAATCGGCCCAGTAGTTACCGAGATATTGCAACAATTACAAAAGTGACACCTCTTGGTTTTGCACGTGGCACGTGCATAAGGGGTCACCCACATGCATCGGGAATAGTCCAATACTTGGTAGAAGGAATGAAGCTACCCTACAAAAATTACCGCATGTAAATCGGTCAAGTGGTTGCTGAGATATAAGCTTCGCAAAAGCGTGACCACGGCCGGCCGGCCGGCCGGCCGGCCGGCCGGCCGGCCGCTCATACTCAGAAATTTCCGTTAATCTAAGGAAAGACTACGCTCGCTTCGCTCGCTCCGTAAATACTTACTTTGCCATTAGTTTGCTGAGAAAAGCACATAAAATTGCATAGAAACTTACTGTTCGCCAGTTACCGAACATTAGGAAGTGGGTATTCGGAACAACACATGAGGTAAAACGCCCCATGGGGCTTTTTGCCCCGCGACCTACTGGGGCGTTTTACCCCATCACGTAGTTCGGTCAGATAACAACGCCTTGCACTCCAGCAAGAGATAATTCAAAACGGACCAACCCATTATTATAAGCGTTAGACACTAGTTGTTCAAAATACATAAAAGTCGTTAACCTGATGTGGACAATAAAAGAACGCCATGATGCATAATCTGACTGCAAAACATAAAAATCACTCCAAAAACAAATTTTTGGCTGTATCTCCCTAAAGAGTTATCACAATTTCTTTCCAGTTTGTTCATATGATCATATCTTGCACGTTTTATAGAAGAGAGGATGTTTCCCCAGAACCTTGCCAGTTCCGAGAAACATCGGTGAGGCGTTTTACCTCGGCGGGGCGACTTGCCCCGGTCTACCCTACATGTTTTATGGTCCATTTTATATGCCAAATGCGATTATGTGGGTCAGGCAGCCTTTGGGGTCAGTTTAGATTAGTTCTGGTGAAGGTCAGGTCAAGGTCAGGCCAAGGTCAGGTCAAATTAGGTCAAATTTCAAAGTTGATATTTTGCATAAAATGGGTATCGACTCGATGCAGCTTGTCACGGGGAGTTCAATGGTGGTCTTTGTTTTGCGCTGCGTGGCCTAGAATTGCTAAGAATTGAGTTCAAAAATTTGACGTCATCAATTTTGAAGTTTTTTTTGCTATAACTTGCCCAAAAAAGGAGCTATCGATCTAAAATTTGGTATGTATATAGACGAGCGCAGGGACTATCACTTTATTTCTCGTTTTTTCGAAATTCGGAAAATTTTTGGATTTTTTTGCGTTTTTCTAAAAAAATCAATTTTTGAATTTTGGGGGGTCAAAATCCCAAAGTTTTGAAAATCGGAGATGGCAGTTTTGTAGCGCCGCTTTTTGTCTACATAACCATATGAAGAACTTTGAAATTGCTTGGTAACTGTAGCTTTTGTGAGCGTTTCAAGATTTTATGTTTTTTGCTCATTTTTGCTCGAACATGACCTCAGTTTGACCTCAATAAATCCTGACCTAAGGTGACCTAAGACTTGAAATTTCGTGTGAAGGTGTCAAATTGATGCCCGGGAAGGTACTGAAAATTTGGCGGCGTTTCCTTGCTATTCAGGAAAAACCACAGGGGGGCCAAATTGGTCCCCCCAGCGGGGCGACGGTTTAGAGACTCCGAAGCAATTTCATGCTTAGTTTCTTGATTATGGGTATCAACGTATGGCTAACCCGCGCCGTGCTGGTGGCCTGAACTTTCTGCCGAGTGCTGGGGCGGGGGCGGGGGAGGGGGGGGGGGGCGTTTTCACGCCCCCCCCCCGTCTAACTCGGCTCATGGGTTACGTGGCGGTACGCGGTAAGCGGCAATCGAAAGAGCGTCAAAAATAAGGATGACAATATTTCAGTCATTTTTAAGGTCAGGTCAAAGGTCAGGTCACCAGAGGTCATTAAATGTCAAATTTTGTCGATTGCAGCAATTTTGAAAAACCCGACTGCTAACTCGGGACAAATAGAGCTACAGCGCCTCGGAAAGCGCATTCGATAGCCCTTTTACAGATCTTTCTGATTAATGTTCTCAGAGTTGACCTCAGGTCAACGGTTTAGCCTCCAGAGGGCAAAAACTCTAAAAATAGCTATTTTCACGAAAAATGTTTTTCGGTAATAACTTTTGACTCAAGAAAGCCACGACGTTACTTTTGCCAGCATCGTGTTCCTCTCGTTGATCCGCGTCGAATGAACTATACGTTGACCTTTAAAGGTCATTTTGAAAATTTGACCTCAGGTCAAGACTATGACCTGACCAGAAAGGGTCATGTTGCATATCAGTCGATCCGTATCGTCGAACTGAACACATGTGACCAAGGGTGGAGCTTTTCCAGGGAAGTTGGTGGGGCAAAAAGTCGTCAAACTTACGATGTTCAATTGTTGAGTTAGGTGAAGTGCAACACTGAATCGATTATATTCATCATTACAAAGATAATGTTTGACATCATAAGACATTTCAAAGCTCCCCAATGCGGAAAAGATTGGTTAGATTGCAACAAAGTCAAAGATGGCAACAAAATCCTAAAAGTCAGCTGAAGTTGGTGGGGCAAAACGCTTATTGGTGGGGCAAAATGGCAAGTTGGTGGGGCAGCCGCCCCACCAACTGAATAGGAAGCTCCGCCCCTGCATGTGACGTGTTTTCACCGCTCTAGCACGCCTCAATCAAAAGTTATAGCCAACAAAATTGCTGGTGACCGTTCATGACCTGAGATAACCTCAGGGGCACACAGAGGGGTCACAGTTGCAATTTTCCGATTCAGTGTGTCATGTTTACAGTGCTGGAAATGAGGACACTTTCTGGTCCCGGCGTTTTAATCTCCGGGTGGGTTAATCCCGTCCAGCGTTTAGCCTTTCGGGACCCACTTAGGGTCGCGGTTGTTTTCTCCGCTCGCCCCAGTCGAGATGCAAAGTTATTGTCACACGAAGCTCATTTAGGGCCAGCCAAACCAGCTTAGTCTGGAGTTACTGTTTAATATATGCATAGAGATGAAAGAAAAGGGTTTGTAGAATCGGTTAATTTCAAAGTCGTGTATTCAGAGACCCCAAATAATCTTAGTGCGACTAGCAACTTTGCATCTCGAATGGGCCGAGCGGTGAAAACAACCGCGGCTCTGAGAGGGTCCCGAATGGCTGAGCGCTAGACGGGGCCAACCCACTCGGAGAATAAAACGCCGCGACCAGAAAGTGGCCTCATTTCCAGCACTGCATGTTTACCTATGCGCTGATGTTTGAGAGGGCGTAGATCGACATTTGTCCAAAAGAGGCGCATTTCAATTTTCTCACATTGACTTATTACGAAGCGAGCAAGGCGAGCGTAGTCTTTCTTTAGATTAACGGAAATTTCTGAGTATGAGCGGCCGGCCGTGGTCACGTTTTTGCGACGCTTATATCTCAGCAACTACTTGACCGATTGACATGCGGTAATTTTGTATGGTAGCTCCATTCCTTCTACCAAGTATTGGAATATTCCCGATGCATGTGGGTGACCCCTTATGCACGTGCCACGTGCAAAACGAAGAGGTGTCAGTTTTGTTGTAGTTGCAATATTTCGGTAACTCCTTGGCCGATTGCGCTGAAAGCTAGCATGTAGGTAGGCACCCACTAGGCAATGCATATCCATGTGCCAGAGTTGGGGTGCTGCTGCACGTGCGCACGTGCAGGGGTCGTTTCCAGATCTCGAGAACGGCTCGACCGATTGCGCTCAAATTTGGTACACAATTAGGGACCGGTTAGTAGGGTGCCGTGCAAAAGTCACTTGGGACCCATTTTGCACGTGCGCACGTGCAGGGTGTCGCTTCCAGATCTCGAGAACGGCTGTACCGATTGTGCTCAAATTTGGCACATCGCTAGAGACCGGTTAGTAGGGTGCCGTGCACAAGTCAGTTGGAGGCTTCCCCTCGCAATTTCGCACGTGCAAGGCCCACCCTCTCGCTCGCTCCGTTAGTCGCCCCAAAAGGCGTTATAATGGTTTATAATGAAGAGGTTACAAAATTGACCTCCCCAGTTTTTTCGCAAATAATTCGCGTAAAAAGCGGCCGATCGCGACGAAAATTTTGGTAACCTCGCGTTAATCAATTTTACACCCACCCTGAAAATTTCATGACACCGACCCAAATGACCTAGTTTGACCTGTGACTTGTGAGCTACTTTTCGAGACCATGTTTGGCCGGAATCGCGATTCGCCGTATGTCGGCTCGTATAAGCCGCGTGTTTGCAGTCTTTTCATGATTTCAAGCGTTCAAACATGTGATATGATGTTGCTCCCATGCATTAGGGGGCTGTCAAGGTCACCTAAAGGTCAGGTCAGGTCATTGACCTATGATGACCTCGGTTCACTTTTTGGAGTATTTTATGTTCATATGCTAGTTTTTGGAGCTGAATTCGAATTTAGCAACCATTTGAACATTTATGAAATAGTTTTGGTGCCTTCGTAACATGTTGCGAAGCTGTCAGAGGCGGTTGACAGTTGACGCCTACTACGAATACTTGTTGACCTGACTGACCTGACCCGACTTAGCCTAAATGCATGAATGCAACATCGCTGATCAAAACTAACATGATAAAAATTGGGTGGCATCGGCTTCCTCTCGTGACTGGCAACACGCTCGTTTTTTCCGCGAAGCTCTAGCTCGATCAGGGGCGAAACGGCAAGGGGGGTTCGTCGGACCCCCCCTTATACGTTCGCGGCTGGCAAAAAAAAAAAAAAAAAAACAATACGGGCGAGGGTTAAAGAAACCCTCGCACCTTCAAAAAATCTAATGAATTGACATAAAAGTGATGCCGTGGTTCAGAGAGAGAGCAAAAGCGAATAGGTAGGGGAGAGTGGGGTAAAGCGGACCACTGCACTGGGGCAAAGCAAACCACTCCCTCTGAAACCCCAATAAATGGCCCCTTTCAAAAACAAAGATAGCCATTAACAATGCCTTGTGTTGGCACGTTTCTTGTGTAGCAGCCACACGCACCCGTCACAGCGGCTCGGCTCTAGGAATAAACGTTTTCAACCAAGGGCCAGAAATGTGATATTATCAATTCCCCTTCTAATTTTAGCATGGAATGTATACCAAAATTAAGTTTAGATACGAAGCTAAGTCAACATCCGCACTACCGTCCGTCTTAGAAGCGCAATGGTACGCATTTTGGTTTGGCACGAACCCGAAATGGCTCAGCACACTGTGTTGTCGGCAATGTCTACTCAAATGCAGAATTTGGGAGTGGGGTAAAGTGGACCATTAATTAAAACACTCGCGCCTTTACGTGTACGATTGGTGATTGGTGTCAGGCTACGGTGTATGATTATTAAAACTTCAGTTTATCATTATTTGTGTTGCACCCGAGGTTTTTTTTCTTTTCTTGTCGTGAATGACGTGTGAATGAGCTAGAGTGTGTGAGGGAGAGGTGCCATGAAATAAGCTGAATAGCTTTTGCACCGATCCCAGATTGCCTTATGCCTATTTATGCGAAAATATTCAATAAAATCGAGCAACAACAACAAACAACAACAAAAACCGGAAAAACTCAGAAAAATGCGATAGGCTAAAATTGAATTCATTGTAGCTAGCAGATGACTTAAGGACGTTAGAAATGTTCTTGGAAGTAGGTAAGTGGCTCTTGAGGAAGAAAGAAAAATTGCGGTGGTCCACTTTGCCCTACTAGTTTTTGGAACTCAAAATATGTAGTGATAATGTTCCACAAAGAATTAAACCACTTTCCAAAGTAGCTAGACAAAACTCGCCTACATGGAAGTTTGGGCCTGCAGGATTAACCCGCGCCCCACTGGGGTCTGTGTATAACGCGCCCTACTGGGGGGGGGGGGCTATTCATAGCCCCCCCCCCTCCTAACTCCGAAACGGCCGATCGTCAAAATTCAAACGGCATCTGATATTCCCGGAAAAACCGTCGAACGAAACATTATTTTATTGACCTCAAGGTCACTGATGACGCCACAGGTCAGGTCAAAGTAAAAATTATCGATGTTTGGCTTGCTCACATTTTGGGCTCTGGCTGCCGCCTTACAAGTCGGATCAAGCTGATTTTTGGTTTACACACTCATGAATAGATGCTTTAGATACCTTGAGGGTACCAAACTTGTACTTCGATTTTCAGGTCAGGGTCAGGTCATCACAGGTCACGGAAATCTTATATCATAAGTAGGTAACGTGACACATGTTTTATGGTCCATTTAAGCCATAGATTTCGAATTCGATGTCGTTTATGTCATTCAAGGTCATTTTGAGTTGAATTTAGCTGAGGTCAGGCCACTTCCAGGTTAAAAAAGGTAAAATTTCAAAGTTGAAATTTTTCAACATAAAACATGTCTATCAGATGCAGTTTGAGCTCAGGAACACGATGGTGCTATTTATATCGGTGTACGATGTCCAATTCGTACTGAAAAAAATATCTGAAAAATATCAAATTGTGAAATTTTTGCTATAATGCGTATAACTTGGCCATTTTTAATGATATCTGGCTAAAACTTGCTAGCTTTTTCGAAAAGTCGAAGTTTTTGAAGATTTTCGAAAAGTCAACGTTTTTGAAAAAAGATAAAAATACCAATTTTTTATTTTGATGTATACAATTTTCAAAATTTTCAAAATCCGAGATAGCAGTTTGATAGCGCAGTCCATTCTGAGTCCTCTCATGCAAAGAAATTGGATCTAGCTTTAAAACTCAGCTCTTGGGAGCGATTCCCGTGGTTCAATGTTTTGCGTCGAAATCGGCCGAACATGACGTCACTCTGACGTCATTTCCGGCCGACCTATGATAGATACGAAGTTCAAATTTTGACACAAGGTGTCAAATGGATGCAGCCGAAGGTACGGAAAGTTTGGCCGCGATACGTCGAGCGGTTTAGACGTTATTGCAGGAAAACGGGTCCAGTGGGGCGGGGGTTAAGCTAACACGTAAACTAGTTTAAACTAACATTTTCACTACCGCTTAGCAGTTATCTGACGCTGTTTCTTAGCTAGTCCGCTTTACCCCACTCTCCCCTAACTACCATATTTCCCCGAACAATATTCTCTTTTTTAGATATTATGCTTCTATTTTTGTTTATTTTTGGGGGGCATCCGCTGTTCTATGACGTCATTTGGAAGCAATAATTTGGCATCCTATAAGTGCGACAGATGTTGCACGTAAAGTGGCATGCACCGCCAAAGCAACAATTGTCTTTTACCAAGGTTTTAGTATAAGATTTAAAAATTGCTAGATCTGAATCTGATGGGGGAGTTTGGGGCATTCCTGCCGTCTGTGGAGTATTCAAATGCATTAACCTCTTAGAATCCGAAAACTGCAGACTTTGAAATTAGATATCTCCGAATTAAAGTGCATCTCGATGTTGTGAGTGCCCAAACTGGTAATTGCAAGCCAGGTACCCCAATTTGGCTATCTCAACTCAAAACTTAAGTAAGGCAGGATGGTCACTTATAATGTCTAGGTATGTCGATCACTACAATTCTCTGTTTTTACTTACTTGATAGGTACGATTGGCCAGCGTTTGGTTACGACACAAAAAAACAACACTAACCGTCGTCGTCTAATCTGACAGGACGACGAAGAAGACAAGACAAACAAGAAGAGCCAGAGCCGCAGCCGCACCAGGGAGTCCTCTGGCTCCTCGGACCCCGACTTCGAGACGTCGGCGGCGGTGGGCGGCCGGCGCGGTGGCTACGCGACCCGCCGGACGCGCCAGGTCGAGTCGGATCCGCCTCCGCACGACCTCAGCCGGATCCTGCCGCGGGATCCGCCCGACTGCCTCCGGCGCGGCACCAAGCGGAAGTCGCAGAGCTCACCGCGGCTTCTGTGCTTCGACCCTGCCCCAGAGGACTCTGGAGGAGGTCTGGCCCCGGCCGCCGCAGGAAGAGCGTTCACCTCCGCAGGAGGAGCGTCCATCTCTGCAGGAAGAGCGTCCACCTCTGCTGGAGGAGCGTCCACCTCTGCAGGAAGAGCGTCCACCTCTGCAGGAGGAGCGTCCACCTCTACAGGAAGAGCGTCGACATCTAGCGGAGGCCCGTCCACCGCCCCAGGGGGCCCGTCGACCTCCGCTGCAGCCGGAGCCCGAGACAGCGCGACTCCGAACGTGGCCGCCGGTGGGAGCCGCGATGGACTGGACCTGTCGATGCTGGGTTCTCGCGTCAGCACGCCGACTGCCGGGCCGTCCCTAGGTCAGCTGTACAAGATTCGGCTGGCGGTGGCGGCTGCCAGTCGCAGCGCAGGCGCCTCCCGGCCCGCCAGCGGCTCCGTGGACGTCTCATCGGTGTCGTCGGTGGTCAGTACCCCGGAGGGTAGCGCGTCCGCTCCGTGGGCGGACACCGAGACGGACTCTCAGCCGCCGCGGCTCGGCAGTCCGGAGGCCAGCACTCCGGCCGCCTCCTCGGCTAGCGCCTCGCCCACCTTCGGGCCACCTCTGCTGTGCCCAGTCGTCGAGCGGCTGCCTGAGGCTCTGGCAGCAGCCGCGAGGCCAGAGGCCAGCAGACCGCAGCCGCCGCGGCCGGCGTCGCAGAGGCGGAAGCGACCACCCGCGCGTCGTTCCCGGTCAACCTCTACAACGAGGAGACCTCCCAGCAGCCCACTGACCGCCGGCCCGCGCTCGGCCTTCGCCAGCGTGTCTGCTGAACCTGCGGCGGCCTCCCGAGCTTCCAGTGTCTCCGGTGCTTCCAATGTCTCCGGAGCTTCCAGCCAGGCTGTCGCGGAGACCCATACCACTGGACTGGGCCTGCTGTGTCAGGCGGCGGAGGCTGCCGAGGCGATGGCAGCAGCTGCACAAACGTTCACGGCTGCTGCGGAGGTGTCGGCGGCTGCTGCGAATGCGGCACGTTCGGAGCCACAGAGCCGAGCAGGAGGGCGGATAGCGTTAGCGACGTCATCGTTCGGAACGGCAGCCGTAACGACGTTTTCGTCCGGAATTGCAACTGCAATTGCAACGTCTTCTGCCAGTCCCGTTACCGCGCCTTCTGCCGGTCCCACGGATGAGACATCTGCCGGGCCCACGACGGAGACATCCGCCGGTCTCGCGAGGTCTTCCTCCGCCGGTCTCGCGTCAACGTCCTCCGCCGTCCCAGGGACACCAGAACGGATCGCTGGAGGAGGCGACGGGCGGTCTCCTGGCCCGTCATCGCGCCAGGGAACTCCGCTCAAACTCTACCGTGTGGGCGCGAAGACGGCGGACGGTTCTTGCTGCTGGACCACCATCTCCCCACACAAGGACAGCGGCAGGGCCAGCGGGTAGGTTACCAATATGACTGGCTAAGCTTACGGCGAAGTCGCTAAAATACCTGGGGTAGCGTTGTTAACTTTGAATAATGTCTTTTTTTCTTAGACTGCTGTAGATCAATTTCTGTTCTTAAGTTGCTGTAAATGCTGAATCACTATCACATAGCTAGAAAAATCAGTAATGTACTCGCGATCACACCCTTTACTATCGTATGTATTTTTCTCCTGCCGCAGGACCGCCGCCTCAGCCGGACCATCTGGCGTGAAATTCAACTTAGAAAAGAGCGAGAGCGGAGCTGCAAGACGTTCAGCGTCTGCGGAAGGCCCTTCTTCCGCTTCCACCGGTCGACCGCGGGGGCCAGAGAGAACTCCCGAGAAACCATCAGAACGCCGTCGGCCGTCGAGGAGCCCCCGTCAGAATTCTAGAAGTCTTCGTCGGAAACCTAAAAGTCCCCGTCAGAGTCCTCGAAGTTACCGTCAGGATTCGAGAAGTCCCCGACGGGACTCGAGAACGACTGGACGCGAAAGTGCGAGACGGTCTCCTCGGAAGTCGAGGAGCTCGAAGAGCCCTCACCAGTATCGGGATGGTGTAAGTGAAGAAACCATGGCTCAAGCGGAGGACTCTGTTCAGGGAGCGGCGGCACTTCAGCAGGAGGCGGGAAGTTCCCATGCTGTGCTCAGAAACCTTATGGAGCAGCCGAGGAGCTACGGCCACAGGAGCGTGGAACTGCCACGGCCGGCAGAGCCTCTGACGCAGGAGACTCTTCAGAATGTCCCAGCATATCAGCAGGCAGCTGGCCGTCCTCATGAGACTACTGGTGATCTTCCGGGCGTTGCAGAACGTCTTAACGCCGAGATTCATCAGCAACCAAGGGCAGAGTGTCATGATCAGGGCCCCGCCGGACCGCAAGGAACTGAACAACTTCATCAAGGCACGGAACTTGTGCATCATGGAACCGAGCAGCCTCGTCATACCACAGAGCAGCTCCATCATGCTACAGAGCGACTCTATTATGGCACAGAGCGACTTCATCATGGCACCGAACTACTTCGTCATGGCGCCGAGCAACTTCATCATGACTCAGAGCGACCTCATCATGACTCAGAGCGACTTCGTCATGGCGCGGAACGGCCTCATTATGTCCCTGAGCAGCTTCACCAGGACACCCAACAACTCCATCATGACATGGAAACGGCTCATCCTGGCGCAGATGAACGTCGACACGGACCTTCGCATTCTCACCATGACACCGAAAGATCTTATCGCGCAACGGAGATACCTCATGACGCTGCGGCAGCTCATTACCAGACGGGATCGCTTCCTCTCGACACCAGGGAAGTTCACTACGACTCAGAGACACTTCGTCCGGGAATCGCGAGACCTGGACGTGGTGAGGAGGCTTTGCGCCTGGAGGTAGAGGAACTTCACGTCGGAACCGAATACCATTATCAGAACTTCGAAAAACAGCAGAATGTAGAGTGCGGTCATGATCAAGAGTGGCAACAGACAGCAGCTGAAGCCGTTCATCAGGGAGACGCGGATCCTCGTGAACTAGATAGCTTGCTACAGGAGACAAGAAACTTTCATGAAGGACAGGAATCCATTGGGATGGCAAGACATCATCAATCGATCGCGGGCTCATCTCATTCAGACGTGAAACCAATAGATATCGGATATGCAAACGATCGCTTGGAAGCTGCCAGTTTCGCTAGGAGTCGCGATATTCCCCAACATCACGCTCAGCATGCTGCGGCCCAGGTGCCTCAACGGCAACCCGTGCCTGGTAGTGCGTATCAAGGCGAAGAAGGTCCCTACCCCTCTCCCTGGGGTAGCTATCAAACTCCTGATTATCATGCCCAAGGTCCTGATGCTCTTCAAGATCGTTGTGAGCACCCAAACCAAGAGCAAGAGACCCACCAGCAAGTGAAGAGCCCTCACAGAGACACTGAGGGGGCCCACCGGAACACAGATGATCTCAGTATGAAGTCGGCGTCTCCGCCTCCCGCCGTCGAGGGCCCCCTGGTTCACGAAGACGGCGCCATGCAGGGCGCAGAGGACCCGAGTAAGAAGTCTGCAGGTGGAGAGGAAGACGTTCTCGAGGAGGCCCGAACCGGACTTCACTATCGGAAGAAGCGTGCCTCAAACCTCAGCGCCGATTCATCGATGAACGCATCGACGGAGCATCCAGTACCGGTGAGAAATTTAGCGAGTTTTGGCAAGCACTGCCGCCAGTAGTTTTGGCCGTTTCTTAAGAAAAGAAAAAATACTTGAAACAGTGCGACACATTCAAGCCTTTTTTAATGCATGCACGTAATATCAGTCAATGTAATTTTATGCAGCGAAGATCAATATCGTCTTCTCTCAACCCTGCCGTTGAATGTATGACTTGATAAAAGTTTTTAACTCAGACATTGCCTTGCTAACAACAACGTGTTTTATGCTCCCGTCTCAATGTTCGGCACATTCCGTTTAATTGTTCGTCATTTGTGTGTTTTCAGGAGGTTCGTCCAGCTATGGTGAGAACGACCGGGACGAAGACCATCCATGTGGTCCGCGTGTCTACGGAGGAACAAGATCCTTCCCCGCCACCCCTTGGTCCTCGTCAGATTCCTCAGTTAATCTCATCTCACACTCATTCTTCCGTCTCTCCAATGCAGACCAAGCAGCCAGCTGCACTCCGTCCCGAGACCCAATCTGCGTCCTCTGTTGATGAACTTTCCCAGTCCTGTGTCAGGCAGCCAGTCATACAGCATTCGCATACAAATACCAACTCACCGGCTTTTGAGCCAGGTCAGCGATGGGGCAATGAGGCAATCTTTCCTGGAGTGGAGCTTCGTGGTTCTTTAGAGGAGCCAAAATCATCGAAACAATGTACCACTTCTGGCACTTCTTGCACGAGAGGTCTTACTTCGTGCCTGTCTTCCGAATCACATCTTCATGCTCCGGAAGACCCTGCTCAAGGCAGCAGTCCCTGTAGTGATCCTGTAGCAATCCCTGAAACCATTACCGTGGAGCCTGCCCAGACCTTTGAGCGATTGGCATCTTTTCGCGCGGAGCAGCTGACAGTTTGTCGAGTATCCGCGGAGGCATGTGTCGAGGATGATAAGCCACCTGTAAATGGGATAACCTTATCTGCCGAGCAAGAAGTGACTCTAGCTGAAGACGCAAAAGTCATCCTCCCAGAGGACAGCTTCTCCACCCAGGAGCACAAGGTCGACACGCCATTGGGTAACAGAGAGAATGCTCCGCCATTGATCAAGGAAACGTCTTTACCCTGTGAGAATGCGGACTCATTCGGCCGTGCCAGAGAGCCTGTTTGTCAGGTGGTCAAGGAGGCTGAAAAGCATAGTGTCCGGGAAAATGTCGAACATGAGGCGTCCCGTGACAAGGAAGCTGCCACGATGTCTGGAAACCAAGTTTCCTCAACGGGCACTGAAGTATCACGTGGAGCCGTTGCCAAGAGAAAGGTACAGTCACTTGCGCAGAGAATGATTGAAAGCACCGAAGAGACGCAGAGAGTCCGCTCTCAAGTTGTGCACCCCTATAACAACGAACGAGCTGAGGCTCGATCAAGGCCACCGGCTGACCAGCAGATCGCTGCTCCGCAGCAGCCCAGCACTTCTTTCCCGGCAGTGCTGCTGCCTCCAGATCCAATGGTGATGGCCTCACAAAGTCCTTCGGTGCACGCAGCTCAGCTGTCGGATCTGTATCTCCAATGGCATATGGCACAGCAAGCGATGTACTTGTCTGAACGTCCAGAATTGCAGGCGTCCCAGTATCTTCAGCGAAACGGTCAGCCAAGTGTGCAAGCGCCTCCGGCCCTTCGCCCGCCGTTTCCTCAGCATCCAGCTTTGCCGAGCTTCCCACCACCAGCGACTCAGCAACCCATGCTACAAACGGCCAGGGAAGCGAGTTCACAAACACCTTGGTACCAGAACTTGACCTTGTTCCAGAATCCCAGTCCGCAGTTATTCCAGCAGTCAGTTGCGCCAGTACCGCAGAATCTAGGTCTTCCAGCTTATCAGCCTCTTGGACAGCCCGCAGCTCAGTATCCGAACATGTCTCTTCCGCAGTTTCAAGGGTGGCCACCACTGCTTGCCCAACCAGCAGTCTTTTACCCCAACATGGCGCCCAACGCGGGTATGCTGTTGCCTCAAAATCAGGGCGTACCGTATCCAGGCGCGATTCTGCCGGTATCGCAGCACCTTGCGGTGCCCATGCATGTGCCGATGGCGAGGCACCCTGCAGTCCCGGACGTACCCTCTACGCGCTCGTGGTTCTCCTACCCTGCTCTTGACCTGCCCCAGCCGGCCGTTCAAAAGTGTGCGCAGGGCCAATCACAGCAGGTTGGGACTGGCGCAAGGAGGAAGGACCGGTCAGCTCTGAACTCCTCACAACAGCTATGTTCGGGTTCCACGAAAATGTCTCAGCGGTCACAAGTTAGCCCAGCACCGTCGTTCGCGTCTGCTTCCAGCATCACATCTTCCAGCACACCGCAGGATTCACCACTCACGATCTTTCAGGAACTTCCAAAGGGCCGCAGGAGCAAGAAGTCTTGCGCTCCTAAGGAGGGTAAGCGGAGACGGCTGCCAAAGAAAGACAAAGAAGAAACAACATATGGGAAGCCACTGCCAGCGCTGCGGTCTGTTGACGGAAACTCAAGATCTCCTCTTTCAGGAAGCTCGGAAAGGGCACTTCATACCTTAGAGGCGACCGCAACGAGGATGACTGATCAGTTCTCAAACGATGCTGGGCCTCCAGAGACTCGTGCCTCTGCCACTAGTCAGAGCATCCTGCGGCCACGACCTTCTTATCAGCCTTTTCGTCCTGTTAACGCATCCATTCAGGCGCCTTCCTTAGACCTACCCGTGCCACGGACGTCCACACCTCGCCAACGCTCTCCAAAGCCATCAGTCCATCGAACCTCTCGCGCTCGTAAGTCGGCGTCAGCAGACGGCTCCATCGCATCATCACACTCGCAAACCGTCGAAATGCTGGGCATGGCAAGGGCTGGAGGAGGCCCTAGCTTGGGAGAATTGACGGAAATGTCGCGATTTATCCAACAAGAACAACATGGTGAACCTCTTGCCGGACAGCAGCTGCCGCAGAACATTTTCCAAAACCCGACCCGACCATTTGTGGGGACCCCGTCAGCTCCCCCGGACAGCCAACCTCCGCAGTTTTGGATTCCTCCGCCTGCCCAGTGGCCAGCTCTGAACCCGGCCAAGCAATCTACCCAGCACCAACAAGCTAAATGGCCCTGGGGCTATTAGGAACTTGGCATATACACTGTCCTGGTGTGACCTGAACACCTGCCGATGCGTCTGCTTATTCCATCCGTAGAGCCGCCAAAATTACCTTTAGGCGCCCAGCCCCTGAGCTGCCTCCATCGTCACATGCAGATGCTCTGTTTTACCAACTCAAACTGGCCACTTGCCTTGCCACAGGCTCAGTCCTGAGATACCGGTCCCCGTATCCATGCCAGTCCCTGACTCAACCCAGGATGCGCTCTGCGAACGTCTGTACTGAAAGCGGTAAGATGACTGCAGGCATCCTGTCCTTGTCCTGCCGATCCTTTCGCTCCTTCTCCCAGCCGAGCTTTTGCCATCCTGCTTCGCTCCTTGGCTGCATCACCCGTTGAACAGTTCTGGTAATCTCCCGAACTCCCTCCGTTCACGTCTTGGCTTCCAATATTCGCTGTGCGTTTATCAATAAGAACTTGTCAAATGCTCAATGTGCATCGTTACCATAACAATGATGTTGTTCTGATGAAATCGTTAGTGTCGATGATGCACCATTCTTGCACCTTTTCTTTGTCTCGTAGAGGTGAGGCAATTAATGATTTAAAACTTAAAAGGTTAGCATTATCATTATGCAGACTACTGGAAATGTACGTGGAATAAGTTGTCATGTTTTGACATAGCTTTTCAAGTTTTTGACGATCGCTCGATTTTTCAAAGAGTTCACTAAATAGTGGATTTAAATGCCATCTAAATGCCGTTTCACCCCCGTGCTCCTCTCATACGTGGCATCTGACCTCCTCAGGGCGCTGGCGGGAGTTCAGACAACAACGGCAGAGCGGCAGGGAACCGGAACGGCAGCAGTCCCACCTGCTCCAACTGCGGCATGACCTTCCACAGTGCCGGGGAGAGGATCGCCCACAAACGCTCCGCCGCCTGCCTGCGGGTGGGTAGGTCACTTCTTACTTCTTCTCTCCGCGCACGGTGTGTCGTGATAAGATGGGGCTTCCGGCTTAGGGGTATGGGATATTTTGTGAAGGGGTGTGTATCGTTTCGTTTAAAATTAATGGTGTCACCGTGGCGTAGATTCTGCGTTGATGTTTGCTTGCATGGCCGACTGCATAATGCATGGTTAGTTATTGGAACGATTTATTCATTTTTGTAGGGATCCCCATCCAGAGGTGTTGCACAGATAACGTTTCCAAAACTTATTTCTGCTTACGGAAATCCATTTTGCTCTCTTAGTCACCGAGTTTCCAATTAAACGTAGTAAGTATGCCTAACAGGACATGACCTGACATTGAGTTTCCAACGGGCCTTTTCTCTGCAACACATTTGCATACCTGCTCCATACGTCCTAACCAACGCCCTCACTGCTGCTTCAGGTCAGTGAGCGTCTCCGGGCCGTGTTGGCCGACGTCGCCGTCCGCTACTCCGCCGAGCTCCGGGAGAACTGCGCGGAGTCCGGCCACCCGGCGAGTCGCAGCGACCCAGACTCGGAGCTGGAGCTGCAGCTGACGCGGCTGGCGCTGCGACTGCAGCGTCAGCTCGTCTCTGATCCGAGCGACGACGCGGTGGGGAGAAAACGGTCCCACGACGAGGCCGAAGAAGGCGACTCCAGCGAGTTGGCTGGGAAGCAAGTGGCGGAGAGCGGCAGCGACAAAAGGCGAAGGCGGTCCTCTGGAGGCCTCGCCACCGTGGAAGAACGCGAGGCGACCGTGGGAGAGGATTGGAGTTCAGGTGTAGCTTGTTGGGAAGATTATGGGGAGATTTTAACACATTTGACGACGGGAGACCGGATAACAATGTTGAGCACGAAAAACACGGACGCATGTGAAGGCGCAGCATCGACGACTCGGATGGTGTCTGGCGTTGGCAGCAGAAGAATCGCCGTTGTCGATGGTTCTCAGATCCAGGAAGACATTCAACCCCGGAGTAGGCAAGCTTCAACACCGCATGGCCTGGTCGATCTTGTTGGCAAGGTCCCGACGGACGAAGATATCGGCATCGAGTGGAGACATCAGAACCACCGTCCACCGGTCTCGGCTGATAATGCGGGGCTTCAGAGACTGCGGACAGCTGCGCCACAGGACTCCCGACCTAAACGGATGTCAGCAAGCCCCATCCGTTCTACTCGCAGCTCTCGTGCCTCCAACACTGGGCTCTTCGAGAACGGTGACCATTCTGATTCCGGATCCCCGGGACATGATGACAGGCTGTGGGCAGAAGGAGAATACCAGAGCTCTTGGGACCGTAAAGAACAGCAGCTGAACGAATACCATAGTCGTTTTGTAAGATGTCAAGAGAAAATGTCTTCTACTTCAATGAAGGCCTGGTTAGAAATACCAAAGCCCGATAATTTAACTAGCAGCAATGCCTCCTCCGCCACATCTCATCTACCGTTGACACCTACCAGGGGCCAGCGACCTCCCCCGGCGTCCCCTCACTACAGTCTGATTTCCTCGGATTCCTTTCCTGATGAAGATGGGGAGCTTTCCCGGTCCATGTTGCGATGCTCACCGCGGGCACTGTCTTGTTGTGCACCGATGCTGCCGCTGCCTTTTGTCGGAGATGAGGCAAGAGGTCGTTGTGAAGATGCCAAGACAGACGTCTCAAGGGCGTCCGATGGAGACCTTGCGGAAGACAGTGACGACGCAACGACAGTGACGTATTATGGAGGCTGCAGCGGCGAGCGGGAAACATCACGAGCTGAAGACGTTAAGGATGATGTGATAACGGCGTATCGAGGAGGATTTCAGGCAGGCGCTGCAGGATTTGACGTTGGCGAAGAGATGGCGACGGCGGTTTTCGATGAAGACCGTGGAATTACATGGGGCGAGGCACACGTCAGCGATGGAGATCACATCCTCGCCACAACATCCACGGAGTCGAGCTCGGATAGCGCTGATTCGCGCTTCGTCGTGTCGACCCTCTCTCCACAGCAATGGCCCGATGATGAATCTGAGGAGGCTCTGACGCCAAACTCTTGCAGGTCTTCTAGAGCACAGCGACCTCGTTTGGGCACTGTCTCGTCCGGCGCATCGTCTGATGAAATCGCTCTAGTCAGGCCATCTCCCGTCTACTTCGGGATGCTAACGCCGTCGTCGCTAGACACAACTGAGACGCCGACGCCCTCAGCATTTTCTACAGAAACCACTGAGAGTTCTGTGGACTCCTTAGTGGAGGACTCTGATCTGGGGTGCTCTGATCAGGATCAGGATATATGCGAAGGAGAAACAACTACGGAAAGTTCCTCAGAGCAAAGTGACGAGATCGTCGAGCCACCTTCCTTATCTGATCATCTCCCGAGTTTCCAACAGATGTATCCTTACTTTGATCCGAACTTTTTGCAACTCTGCCCAGTGCCAGTTCCTTTCCCGCCGTTCTTCCCTTATCCTTCGTTCACTTTAGGCCACCCAGCGGCAACGCCTTTCTGGAGCCGGGCCTTCACATACCACTCTCAGCACCAGCGTCAGCCCGACTACACAGCAACGGATGAGGATGCCGAGGTGGCAGACATCTTTGCCTCCGGCTCCCGTCAGTCGGCCGATGATGCTGCCTCTTCGGACACTGTTCGACTGTCGGATTCCTACGCCAACCAGAGCACCCGTCGTAGATGCTCCGGAGAGTCCAACGACTCTGTGCTCAGTGTAGAAATCCTGGAGTGTCGGGACTTCGAGGGCGTGTCATACCCAGACGAACCGGATACGGCATTGCTGTCCAACCAGCCCAGGCGGACCGACATTGAGGAGGGCGTTGGGTTTGTGGCTGAAGAAGCTGTCCGGGACTTCGCTCGTGAGCGTGCAACGGAAGCGTCTCCGCGCGATGAAGGAGTGGCTGTGAGGCATTCCCAGGAACTCGAAGAAGAGGTGACTCAGACGTCAACCGTAGCGGCGCGGAACGTCTCCAGCGACTCTGGCGTGGAGATCGTCGCGGTCTTTGAGCGCCGTTCACCGCGGGCCAGTGTTTCCCGGGCCTCTCCTCAGGCGACGGTGCTATACCGATCTGAAGAGGTGACGCAGCGTGGCAGAACTGACGCGCTGCAGGCGGGAATGACCCGTGATCCCGGGGTAGTGCCGTGCCAGGTGCTGCCGTCGGCGGAAGCCGGTCACGCGCAGGAGTTGACCTTTCGGGATGACGTGTCAATGTGCCAGCGGCGACGCTCTGTGATCACCTCGACTTCAGACCTTTCTAGGCGGTAAGGTCAAGTCGGCGTTTGGCGCAGAGCGGAGCTGAAGAAGACTAGCTCTGCGCTGTCTTTGCTGACATCACCTCCGGCGAGCGGCGTCTCTGACGCGACTGGTGGAAGGCTGCTGACTGACTGCTGACTGCTGGAGGACTCCGCGGGGGGACTGGCGGATACTGCTGGAGGACCCCGCCGGTGGACTAGCGGATAGGTTGCTGGTCTGGAGGACCCCGTGGATGGACTGGCGGATACTGCTGGTCTGGAGGATCTGCTGCTGATGCCGGACTTTTGAGGTAGGTAAAAGTGATGGGGATTTTCGTCATATTTGTGCTTTTATAATGAGTCACAATGAGTCACATACCTCCTTTCACACCGCCCCTGTTTGGTATGCGACATGCACGTTTACCAAAACTGTTCCTGGCAGTTGCTCACGGTTCTTCTGATAATTAATCTACCCTCGCATTCTACCGTGCATTATTTTATGTTATCTCCCCTGACTCGACCTCCCAGAAGCAGTGTCTTTAGATGGGCCTCAGCCTTTCCGCGAGTGACAACTGACCCTCTTAATGTGGTTTTCAGGCATACCATGCATCTGGCAGGCTCCCTGGCACTCGTCTGGCCCGGCCTGGGACCCGAGCTGAGCCGGTCGCCGTGGCCGAGTGGTCGCCATCTGTCGGCTCTCGCTGCTGAGCTGGATGTCACTGAAGGAGACGAGTCCCAACCATTCGCCCTCCGCCGACATCGGATCTTCATTCCCGGGAGACGCGCCGCGCGGTGTTACCCTCTGTTGGTGCCGCCCCTCACCGATTCCTGCGCGAAATGCTATCTTTGCTGGGACCACAGCTGCAATCACTGATGTGTAAGAAGCGATTATTTTACTATTTTTATCCTTTGTCGCTTATTTTTTACTTTGATCACCGTGTACGTCTGCATCGGACCTGGATGAACCATGCCATTGTTTGTAATACATTACATGCGTCACATCTTCACTTGTGTTCTCGATCGGACGGAGAGCATCATGGCTGGTCCGGGTGGTCTTAAATTGTCATCCAGAACAAGACTCCGAAGAAGTAACGAGCAGTAAAAGTTCTGCTAATACCATGCATGCAGCTTCACACTCTAGGATGTCGTGGGGAGGGGTTGGGACTTGGGAGAACACTTCCTATCGCGGGGTTCAATCAGTCCTAAATTGCCTTTCACTCGGTCTGGCACCCGGGGCCCGACAAGCCCACAACAGTTATGAGTCCATGGTCCCCTTATGGGCCTTCACAACGCCTATCTCATGGTCCCTCCACTATCCAGTGTCTATCTCGTGGTCCCGTCAGCTCTGCAACGTCTCTAACATAATCCTGTCAGTCTTGCAATGTACTTCGGACCAGCTCTTAACTCATCAAAAGCCCTCTTAGGGTCGGGAAGGACCGGTTAACCCTACGCTGACCCTCTTTGGAAGTGTGGGAGCAGTAACCTCGCTCGACCATCATCACATCCAGGGCTTGGCAGTCGAGCCAAAACTATGTAGTTTGATAATGAGCACGTTGAATGTTCGGATGTGGTGATGCTTAGTGTGTGACTGCCGAGAAGAGCTGAGACCTTGCCCCAGAGAGAGCTCATCTCCCGCACACGGACGGCAGTCGCCTATTCGGCTAAGCCAGTTAGGGCCTCTTTCCCAGCATCTCTAAAGATTGCGTTTTTTGTTTGTCCATATGACTGAAAAGTCGCGCTCACCCTGCCTTTCTCGTTAGTTGCATGGCTCCAAACCCAGCCACAAACCCACCCCATCCCAACTCAGGCCCTCAGTCCTCTCCCCAGCAGTAAGAGCGTTTGCGATTCTCGGGTGTTTGTATTGTATGTACAGGGAGGGACAGGGGCGGCTGCCGCCATTGTACACAGTTTGTACCGCCCTCGGACCTCGCGCGCGGCCGCTCACCCTCACACGGCCGCTCACCCTCTCACGCGGCCGCTCACCCTCTCACGCGCACACCGCCGCTCGCACACAATGGAATAAAATATGTACACACGCACACAGACAGACACACACCCCACCTCCCACCACTGCGCCCGCGCACACGTACGCGCGCACAGATAAAACAGCCCACTCGAAATGCGCACGCCGTTCGCCGCGGCGCCGGCGCCAAACGAACAGAGACAGGGTAAAATAGATCAAAAAGAGGCCCGCACGGGCCCGGCGCGACCGTCGTACGTACGTGAGATCTAAAAATTCGACACACACACAGCGGACGCGCACACTGGCTCTCGGACACACACACACACGCACGGGGCGCCGGCGGCTCTGAAAGACGGCCGCGCGCCGCGCCGGGTTCGGCGACAGGAAGTGTGCGCGGCGTGCACGTTTGTACTGGGCGCCGACGGCGGCGCCCCGGGCGTCCGAGGGCGCGCGCGGGGCGCCCCGGGCGCGGCCGGACAGTCGCAGAGTCGGCAGACGGCGACGCGCCCCCACCCGCCGCGCAGAGCACGCGCGCACACACGGACAGACAGACAGACAGCGAGCAGACGGACGCCGCGGACCGCCGGACCGCCGGCCGGGCCGCGCACACACCTCCCACACCGGACACTCTCTCTCTCTCTGGACACGCACTCTCTCTCCCACTCCCGGCCGCCGGGGCGCGGACTCTCTCTCTCTCTCGCTGTCCCGGCGGCCGCCGCTGGCACGCGCTGGCTCGCACACGATCGGTGACGGTCGGCCGGCCGGCCGGTAAAAAACTGTGGCGTGGCGCCGCCGCCGGCGGACGGCGGTACTTCTGTTTGCGGCGGCGGCCGACAGGCGGCTACCGGTGCGCGATGAGCCCGTTGGCCGTGTCGCTCCGGACGGGCGACATCTCCAGCTCCACCAGCAGCGAAAAGTGGTCTGAAAGAGAGAGGGAGGACGGGGGTGGTCAGCGAAAAGTGGTCTGACGGGGCCAGACAGGACGGGGAGTCAAACGACGGACGGGAGGGCACAGGAGATCCCCTCTTCACCCTTCCAACAAAAGTACAACACCCGTGGCGATTTACCAAGAACTATGAAAATTGTGGGAACTGAAACACGACATGAAACAAGCACATACGAATGTTTTAACAAAGTAAGGGTTATTTTACCTTTACTGAAAACTAAGCAGCCTAAATTATGGTTTGCTTCTAAACGCAAATACATAGGAGCTCCATTGACTTCAAAAGATAGCGCCACTGGCGTCCACTACTCACTCCTTGTCGACCCTAGTCGGTTCCCCGGGCTGAGGGGCGGTACACTATCTCACTGGAGGTTACGTGCGGGAGGGGCAGGTGTCGGTAGTTCTCACCTGAGGGTACGTGCGGGTGCGGGCAGCCCTGCACCTTGTTGTCCCGAAGCCAGTCGGGGTCCAGAGGCCCCAGGATGCCCAGCGGCGTCATCGTGTCGCGGCTGTAGAAGATGTAGTCGATGATGCCCTTGAAGTCGTACCTGCGGACGGCCGGAAAACGCGTTAGCGGTGGCGAGAACATGTTAAACAGCAGGAGCACGCAATACAGGACGGGCATCATCTACTTATAGCGATGCCGTGTTGCACCCGTGTAGTGGATTATACACTCACCGGTAGTTGGTGTAGGGCATTATGTCGGTGCTCTGTAGCGCATTCTCCACTCACGTGTAGTTGGTGTAGGGCATTCTGTCGGTGCTCTGTAGTGTATCATGCACTCAAGTGTAGTTGGTGTAGGGTATTATTATGTTCCCGCCGAGTAGTACATTATCCACTCACGTATAGTTGGTGTAGGGCATTATGTGCCCGCCGTGTAGTGCATTCTCCACTCACGTGTAGTTGGTGTAGGGCATTATGTCTGGCGAGTAGCTGCTGGCCAGCCGGAACGGGTGCGTGAACTCGCCGCTGCGCTCGTTGGACACGGAGAGTTTCTTGAGGCAGGTCCTGTAGCCGAGCTCCTTGAAGTCCGGGTGGTTGGCCGGTACGCGACCGTTTACCAGAAACTCCACCACGCCTGCCCGACACAGGAGGGGATCGGTCAGAGTCAGTCAATGGAGGGGCTCATGGGGACAGCCAGGTGTGTATACGGGTTACAACGAGGGGTATATCTGGCTATTGGCTGCATCTCGGAGGAATCGATTTTCTTACGCCAATGACTTTTGTAACCATTTCTCCAGTTGATTTAACCCCAGTGACTCTTCACGGAGACATGACACACTCCACCGAAGCTAATGCCGGGGTGATGTCCCATCCAGTGACCCCAGTGACTTCTAGCAGAAACTGACACCCAATGACCCCCAGTGACTCCCCAGCAACTGACCCGAGTCGGGCAGCGAGTTGAGGTCCCCACAGAGCAGCAGCTGGATGTTGCTCGCTGCCGCCCGGTGGCCGCCGGGCCGAAAACTGGCCACCTCGCGGTCCATGATCTGACGGATCTGCGCAGGAATATACAAAAACGTCACCAGACTGACGAGAAATACACACAAATATCGCCGCACCCGCCATGTTACGGTCCATGATTGATAAGTACAGCCATGGTAGCCCGTGCCAGGTCACACTTCATCCCCGACAATCACCTACAGAAGTACCCTTACACAGCTCTCCATCTCTCCACCCAAGGCGCACTTATACACTTCTGTATCTTCCCACCCAGAATGACCCCAGGCCCAGACCGATCGGCGAGTGACATCCAGAAGTCCCCGGACCCGCCGCGTCCTCACCTCGTGCATCAGCATCATGGTCTGTATGAGTTTGACGTCACAGAACTCGGGGTCCCAGTGTATGTGGGCCGTGCAGACCAGCAGCCGCTGGTTCTGCTGGGCCGGGTCCGAGGGCGCGCCGCTCTCCCAGGCGGCGTCCCGCGTCTCCAGCATCGCCGCCAGGCCGATGTTGTCCTGAGGGGAGGGAGAGGGAAATGGTCAGTCTCCAGCACCGCCGCCAGGCCGATGTTGTCCTGAGGGTGGGGGTGGGGGGTGGGGGGATGGTCACATTGGTCAGTCTACAGCATCGCAGCCAGGCCGATGTTGTCCTGGGGAGGGGGAGGGAAGGGTCAATAATTGGGGTATCTAGCTGGCAGCGCATGACTGATTTGAGGACATTGTTGGATTCATAGTGTTCAATAGACGACTGCCGAGTGAACGAACGCGTAGCTTTTTACTCGGACATCGGACACTTTTGACACGACCCTAGTATTGTTCTCGGATACCCACAACAGGGGGGACCTCAGACCTCTCACCCCGGCCAGCGGCTGGTTGGCAGCGAGAGGTCAGTGTCACTGGACAAAACAGATAAAACAGAGCCCGCTCCATATCCCTCGGCAGTGGCGACCGGATGGGGGCGGATGGGCCCGGTCCCCTGACCCCGCCACCGGCCGACTGGTGCTACAGAGCCGGTTTTTACACAAAGCTCCATATGGGCGGAGGGTGGGGACCTACTGCAGAGGTCAGGGTCGTGTAACACTCGCACAGCCAGCACAACGCACTGATGAAGGAAGGATAGTTAAAGGATGATCAGAGTTAAATGTGATCAGGCTTTACTTTTGGGCATAAGGACAAACAAAACGGGGCGTCCAATAAAATGCCTGTGATCCAGAAAGGTCTTCCCATTGGATACCCAAATCGTAAGCCATTCTCAATCTCAGAAACCATCAATCTGCTACACATACCGAAACCCACGTCTGTCCCACCGCTCCACACACAAAAACCCCTTCCCTGCCTCCCAGTCCTCAGCAGTCCAAAACTCCCCACCGGTGGTGCAGCAGCAGCTGAGGCAACCCAACCCCCCCCCTCTAATTCCGTCTTCCCCACCCAAATAACCCATCACCACCGGCCAGCAGCAGCAGCCGTTAGGACATCCTCTGCTCCCGTCTCCACCCTCACCTTGGTCATGACGCGGTTGAGCATGTCGTCGGACCCCTCAGCGTTGGCCATGGCCATCTGGTTGAACTCGATCAGGTATTCCTTCACCAGGCTGAACCTGCGCAAACACCCGGCCCGGACGGTCAGGGTCGGAGGCCAAAGAACGGCAGAGCGGGCGGC